TGAGAGGCACTAAATATGGAAAGCATTTCATTAATTTAATTTAAAATTACAATGATTTATTTCATAATATATAAGTTTTAAATAATGATTGCAAAATATTGTCATTTCATTAAGGTTGAAAGTTGTAATTCTTTTTTGTCATTTTTTTTTTATTTTGGTTAATTTTTTGTCAATACGTGTTACAATATGATTGGTCTATAAATTAATTTTATATTCTTAAAATAAAATTTCAAATTTGGATTCTTACTTAAATTATGTTACTATAATTGGAATGAGATCAATATTCATTCCTTAAATTTTGCATCATTTATTAAATTATAAAATTCAAATTTAAATTCTTCTTCAAATTATATTACTACAATTAGAATAAGATCAATATTCACATGTGTTATAATGATGTGTCATAATATTATTGGTCTAAAAATAACTTGTTTTAAATACATGTGTTCAAATTATTAATCCCTATTAATTTTTTATTTCCTTTTTTGTTTTAAATTTTATAAAAAAAAATTATATCCTTCTAAACTATAAGGAGTTGAACAATAATATTTTTTAATATAATTTTTTTTTTAACAAAAGAACAAAACATAACTTTTTTAGTACTTAGGCCTCGTTTGGGAACAGGCTAATTTAGTAACTTTTTGGCTAATTGGCTAAAAAGGTAGGTTAAAAAAACTTGTATGTTTGGGATGACTTTTTGACTAATTACGAAAAGCTGTGCAAAAAGTAGAGAGAAGCCGTAATTGTTGACTTTTTGGTATGACTAATTGGCTAATTGGCTAATTTAGTAACTTTTTGGCTAATTGGCTAAAAAGGTAGCATCCCAAATGAGGCCTTACTAAACATGGTGGATTTTGTTTTTCTTTTTTTAATTTCAATTGTCAATTAAAGAAATTAAAATAAAGAATAAAAATATCTTTGGCTCAAATTGTTAAAAAGTTAGTTTTGCTAAAATAAATGAGAAAGAAACGTTATTTTTTTTTTATATTAAAAGTGATAGTTTGTTAAACTTTTTTATTTAAAAAAAAAAGAGTTATAGGTGATAATTTATTATTCATCTAGAATTATTTTTAAATTAAATGAAAATATCATATTAAATGTTCTTCTTACCTTTTTTTTTTATTCAAATACTTTTATTTTGTAAGAAATTTGTTTTTATTCTATTTAATATTTTATTGTAATTTTTAAATTAAAAAGAATTTTTAAAAAATCATATTTAAATTATTTATGCCATTAAAAAGTTAATTTTTTTAATATCAACTTAGTGGTAGTTTGGGAAGTGCCAAATAAGTATATTTTTTTTACTTTTTACAAAAATAGGTATAAAAAAATAGAGATGTGATGTAACCCAAAAAAGATAATTAAGTATATTTTTTTATTTTTTACAAAAAAATGTGTAGAAAAGTAGAGATGCGATGTAATTCAAAAAAGATAAAAAGGTAAAAAAAAGTGAGCTAATATGACACTTCCCAAACAACCCTTTATTTGGCGATCACTTTCTAAAAAGTGTATTTTTAAAAATATTTTCAAGAAAATTTCTATTGGAAATCTTAAGTATATTGCTTTTTTTTTTGTTCATTAATATTCAATTTTTAATTAATTTTATTTTTTATTTTAAAAAATAAGTTAGCACATAATTTAAATATTTATATATATAATTTTGTTTTAGTTGCTCAAGTTATTTGGTGTTTCTGTCCAAGGACACTCAACATAGGTTCAATCTTTAAAAAAATTTAAGCTCGACTCAAGTTGCTTGGGTGAGCTCACCTAGGTTTGCAATTCTAGGAAGGGATGTTGAAAGTTACATGATTAAATTTGTGACAAATTAAAAAATAATAAATAAATTGTGATAAAATTGTGAGACTTAAATTGTAAATTTCATTCTTTTTTGTTTTCATAATTTGCATACAAAAATTTAACTATTTATATTATTTTATATAAAAATATATCATTAATTTTTTTTACATGACGTGCGTAGCACAGGTTATCACTAGTTTATACTAATATAAAAAGTGAAGATGAGATGAAAATATATATAAATAGCATATGTTTTTGTATCCACATTTACTACAAAAGATAACAATTATACAATAATTTCCATATTAAAGTAAGATATCGTGAGTTGTTGTGATCGATACTTTTTTATGTCATTAAACATATTTATGATAACATCGACATTAAAATTTGCACAATGTTTTTCTTAATGAACATGATCAAATAATCAACCGATACCTTATTCTATTTTTAATAGATTAGTTGTAATTAATACTATTTATAAAAAAAATTAGTTTACTTTATTATATTTCGTCCATTGTTTTTAATTTTATATTTTGACCTTATATTTCATAGATAGAGTGGCAGTTAGAAGTGTGCGCGGTGCGGTTCAAGTGGTTTGAGAGTAAAATTATAAACCAAATGGTAGATTGACAAATTGTGGTTTGAGCAGTTTTGGACGGATTGGCAGATTGAAGAATATTCTAGCCAATTATCAATCATTTACATAATATATAACACTAATTTGCATAATATTTTTCATATATATAACATAAACTAATTTTACATAATATTTTTCACATATATAACTACTAATTTGTAATAAATTTCACATATTGAATATCTTTTACATTCATTTATACTTTGATATTTCATTATAGGTTAAAAAATGTATATGTATTAAATATAGCGGAACGGAGTGACTTCGAAGGCGGATTATAAATTTTAAAATTTAAACCACGGGTAGCAAATAGAGCGGTACGAATTAATGCGAATCGATACAATTTTAACGGATTAGACGATATTTTACATCGCCCTAGTTATAAAAGAATTAAAACTTCAGGAGGGTGAACCTCTATGATTAGTAAATAATTATAACTAATACTATTATAATAAATAGTATTTTTAAATCGTACCGGGAGGGGGGAGAATCACCCCTCTTGCCCCTTCTAGGTCCATCTTTGCATGCACATACTAGATTAAAATGCCTGACATGTTTCATACGCTTGTGTAATTTATCACATGCAACTATTGCAAAAGTGGATGATTTTTGAAGCTTACAGTGAAGATGGAACTGGAGAGTACTGCAATAGTGAACATTTTTTAAGCCAATATTGGATCTTCTTTTTCCTTCTCCACATCGCTACCCTCCTCCACTCTATCTTTTTTTTTCTCCATCCAATCAATACAACCTATTTGAAGAGGGAACATGGTTACGGAGATGGTTCCAACAAAGAGATGTTTCTCTCATTAATCTCTCACGGATTATCATATTTTGTTTTTTTTTCATTTAGGAAAGAGAGCGATAAAAATTTTTTAAATTGGAATTGACATCCATCATTCCCAATCATAAATTTTCCTATGGAAGCATTGGTTCGGTAGTAATGGTAGAGCAAGGTGGAGGTGTAGCGAAAATGGAGTTAGATGTAGACAAGTTGGTCGAGAGAGTAGTGGTGTTGAGGATCCAAAGGCGAAGGGATCTCCTTTTCTCTAATACGACTCCTCGTGTATGATGTAAGACAATAAGCAACCTCCTCCTACATCCTCGATCTAGCAACTCATCTATTATTAGCTTTCAATTTTTTTGGTCTAACCATCACCTTTCAGTCGGTGAGTACTCCGTAGAGAAAGGCCTTGGTAAGGACAGTGAAATGGGGCTGAGAAAGAAAAAGATACATATGAAAGGATAGAGAAGAGGTGAGGAAAGAAGGCATAGAGTGCAAAAGCATGTGAAGAGTGAAAATAAGGGTGAGAGAGAAAGAAAAGAAGAGAAAGAAAAGAAAAGAAAGAAACAAGTGTGTGTATTTAAAAGGTAACTTTGTCTATTGTGTGCATCCAACCTTGTCCATGGCATTAGAGTCGACCTAAAAATCAATCGCCATAATGAAGGAGCAATCTCAAGTTCAAAGTTGAGACTAATGACTACATGCTGTTTTTTGTCAGCTTTATTAATTTCAAATAGACATAATTGTTATTACAATTCGAATTAAAATGTAAAAAATTGAGAAACCAAAGTAGAATTTAATAAAATGGTTAAATTTCTCCCAAGTTTAAATTTGAATTCGAAGAGCCACATATCTCAATTCAATAATCTAAACTATTTATTTTGTAAATATATCATCCACACAAAAAATTAAATCAATTTGATAATTATAACCCATTTTATTTTGTTTTGATTTAAAAAAAAACAAACAAGTATTTTTTTAAAATAGACTATATTTTTATTTATTTTTTTATTTCTAGAAATAAACACAATAAAATGAAATGACTATGAAAAAAAATCCTACAAAATAAACAATTTATATTTAGACAATTGAAACGGGACATGTGATGAGAGAAGTGCAACCCTAAAATGTAATTAACCCTTCCATTTATCAAAAGAAGTATCTAATTACAACTTGACATAGGAGCAACCCAATTATCCCATTGGTCCAGCCTTGGAACAGGTTTCATCAAGGTTGCAAATTCCATCCTTCCCCCTCCCTTGAATAGTAGGCATATGATGTTCTTGTATGTATAAAAAAGGCATAAATAAATAACAACTTGGCATAGACCCCTTTGAAGGTTAAAAATTCAAGTGTAATTGTCTGTTAAAAATTCTTTTGAAAAAAGAAAAAAGTTGGAAACTGTAACTTGCAGCATCGACCAAATTCATACATTTGAATATGACTTGAGCCCCCTACTGCAATCTGAGTTGCACAATGGAGGTGTTCTTATCCGTAGGAAAGGTTAGCTTGTTCCGGGTTTTCAAATTGCCAAGGCAATTCATTCCTGCAAAAACATAGCCCTAGGTATGTGGAATCCTTCGATTTTACAGTAACCTAAACCCTCTTTAAGTAGGGTGGCGAATTCCACTCTAATTCATAATTTAGACAAAAAATAAAATCCGCAAATTCACTTTTCATGAAGGCCCAAGCATCCCAATGGCTCTGGTTTCTTTCCACATATTTACAATTTTACCAAGGAAACCGAACAAATAAGCCAAAAATGAAGAAGTTTCAAACACTAAGGAAAACATGAACTGCAACACTAATTAGGGCATATATTCAATATTGGCACACAATAAATCCTTTAAATTGAACAGAATCCCTGCAACACAGTTCAAAGATCCAGAATACATTGAGAGGTGATAGAAGCATGCTTTTTCACGGCATTCCCACGATGCTTTTAACTCGGACAGGACTGACACAGCATTACAAACTCTATATTGCATAGTCTATGCAACATATTCCACGAAATCTATAATAATCGTCACAACTAGAAATAGGTACCTTCAGGAGGCTGGACTAGCTTCCGATTATGCGGAGCCGCCATCTCCTTTTTCAGCTGCGTCAGTATATCTTCCATGGTGTACTCTCGCTGCCAATTTGCCAGAATCCCAAACTTCTTTGGTTCCACCTGTACCAATCATGTGACATCAAATATTGTCAGCCATTTTAAAGGCCTAAACTGCAATCGTCAATACATTTATTATTTAAAAAAAAAATTAGGAAATATAACATAACCTCAAGTGGAGTTCCTCTGGATTTCAATGTTTCCCATGTATTTGTAGTCTCAACATTTACACTAAACAATTAATCCTAGTACCATGTCCAATTCTTTAATCCAAAATCAAAATAGGAAGAAAAGCCTGGGCAACTATAATATATAGCACATAACAAACAAAAGCTTCAGCATTCTCAATTTCTAAACCTACAATATAATTTTGCCAGACTTGCATCAAGACAAATTCCGACCCTTACAGCTTAGAAACCACCATGTTTTCAATGAAATAGATATAGGCTAGGAGAATTTCTGCAGCACGTAACAATAATTATATTCTAGGAATTAGAATGACACAGAATAAAGCCCAATAGGCATCACATCATAAGCATAAAGAACAGAAAAAAAGAATAAAAGAACATTGATGATAGAAATAGCAATAACCAATATCAGTCTGATAGTATTATAACCAATGCTATTCATAACATGGAAACCAATGCTATTCATGCTATTCACCATGGTGCCAGGATGGAGACGACTAGACTGAGATTAATTCCACCAATAACGTCATATATATTGATGCCTAAAAAGGACGAGATAATAGCACACAACAGACCACATTAAATCTATGGGCCCTACATTAAATTGACCTAATCAACGGAGTGCCATAACATCAACTTAAATGTAAAATGATTACACTCATACCACTCCAGTTTCATGGCTGACACAAGTCATGTTGATCCGAGAATGGAAACGAACACTTGGTGGCTTCTCTGGGTAATCTTTATCACAGAAAAGCTTCAGCTGATAAATCCGACCTTCATGTACAGACTGAAACAGTAAAGGAAAAAATTACTCCACTTCTAAAATATATGTATAGATGAATACAAAAATATAAATAAACAAGCACATAATTCAACAATGCCCTTTCAGTTATGGTCTTCCACTACATCTCAGTAAAAACACATTATTCTTCAAAATTTTGATAAGGAATATTGAAAGTGATTCTCAGTTCCATTGAAATAATTAAGAAGAAAATTTCAAAATTGGACTACATATAAACATCAAACAAGGTTCAGAAGCCATATGGGGAAACATGTAACAGTAAATGACTCGCAATTATTGAAAGCAACACATTCTAGATTATTAGCAAACCAGCTTTTCTTATCCATTCTATGTTATTTCAATCATACTCCACTCGTAATAAACCTTTTCAGCATCTAAAACTTTGCAAATAAAACCAGATGCCAACTTGGCTATGAATTATTATCACCAATCAAAATGAATTTTTGCCAACCCATATTAATATGCATCCACATCAGAATTTAAACCCTACAACTCTCTCTCTCTCTCCCTCTCTCTCTCTCTAGATACATATATATATATACACATCTATATGATTTTGGGATTGAGAAGGGGGACTGTTGAAATTTTTTTTAATCTCTTGATGCTGATGTTTTTAAATAGTAATCAAACAAGAGGCAACTTTTTTTTGATGCAAAAAGACTCGCAATCAAAGGACGAAAACTAGGAAAACTAAGGCTCTGTTTGGTTTAATTTTGAGAATTGATTTTGAAAAAAGTTTGCAAAATTTCAAAACTTGTTTGGTTATAATTTTGGGATGATTTGTAGTTTTGTAGTTGAATAGATGGATGTGAGAAAAATTAATTGATTGATGTGTAGAATATGAGAGGAGAGAGGAGAGAGTAGAAGTGATTGATTGATGTGTAAAAAAAAAAAGGAGAGGACAGATGAGATAGAAAACAATTTAAAAAAATTGTAAATCAAACATAGTTTTCGAAATTTTTCATTGCAAAAGTTGATTTAAAAATTTAACCAAACACGACCTTAAGGATCAGCAAGTAGGGGTTTAGATGAAGAAACGGAAGATTGGACAAAGATAGTACACAAACATACTTATATCTTCATAAAAGAAGACAGATCCGGAAGAATAAGTGATGAACTTTAAAAAGTTACTTACATTATGAGGACCAATAATGGTGCCTGTCCACGAACGCATGTAGATGTCATCTCCATCATCCATTCCATAACTCACAGTACCATCTCCAATACCCTTTTCTCCACGTTCAAGTTCCTCAAGCAATCTGAAATTTCGAGGGACTGCAAAGAAACATAAATTTACTATGCTTGTCAAATGGTTTAAGTGGTAATATACTAAGATATTTAACATATTCATTACAACTCAACAAAAAACTATTTCTTTCAATATGTTCATATTAAAATACATAAACATTCTCCTAGATGCTCTTAACCTTAGACTCTTCTACGTGCTCCGCTTCCCCTTTGAGCAACTAAGATCATTCTAGCACAACGCAAGAGGTTGAGCCCATACCCTTCAGCAGTATATGAACCAGCCATAGGTTGAGTCCATATATAATTGAAGTCATCAAGTATATAGTGAAGGGACCCAACTCTAGGGAAACTTGGTGGTGAAGGGAAGAGGTTTAAGCTGTAATTAAGGCAAAAAAAGAGTGCTTTATAAAGTGACAAAATGATAGAACTAAGAAAAATCTGAAGAGCTATAGATGGGCTAAAAAAGAGATCAAGAAAGTAGTGAGAGAGGCTAAATTGAAAGCTTATGATGATCTATACACTAGACTAGATAGTAAGGAGGGAGAGAAGAGGATATACAAACTTGATAAAGATAAGAGAGAGGAAAACAAGAGATTTTAATCAAGTTAAGTGCATCAACAGTGAGAATTCTAAAGTATTGGTGAAGGATGAAGAGATTAAGGAGAGGTGAAAGAACTATTTTGAGAAACTGCTAAATGAGGAACATGGAGATATGTTAATAGCGGAGGAAATAGCCAGTAATAAGGAAAATCAAGACTGTAGGTTCTATCGCAGGATTAGAAACTTTAAAATGGAGATTGCATTTAAGAAGATGAAATTAAATAACACTTAGAACCCGATGATATCCTTATTGAAGCTTGGAAGTGTTTGGGTAAGAAGGGGGTTGCTTGGTTGACTAAGTTGTTTAAAAAGATTTTGTTGACTAGGAACATGCTAGATAAGTGGAAGAAGAGTATTTTAGTATCAATCTATAAGAATAAAGGAGATGTCCAGAATTACAACAACTATAGAGGAATCAAGCTAATGTGTCATATAATGAAAGTGTGGGAGAGGGTGATAGAACATCGATTGCGAGATATAGCAGAGGTGTCAGAGAATTAATTTGGGTTTATGCCTGGTAGGTCAACAATGGAAGCGATCTATCTTTTGAGGATAATAGAAAAGTATAGAGAAAAGAAAAGAGACATTCATATGGTGTTTATCGATCTTGAGAAAGCATATGATAGAGTGCCTCAGGATATAATCTAGTGGGTGTTAAAGAAGAAATGGGTGATAAAAGATTACATTGATGTGATTAGGGACATGTATGAAGGGGTGGTGACTACTATTAGATCGTTTGCTGGAGAGAGAAATAATTTCCAATTACTATAGAATACATCAAGGATCTACCTTAAGTCCTTATCTTTTGCTTTAATTATAGATGAGTTGACAAGAAATATCGAGGATGATGTGCCATGGTGTATGTTTTTTACAGATGATATCGTGTTAGTGGATAAGATTAGAGAATAAGTTAACACAAAGTTGGAGATTTGGAGAGAAACACTTGAATCTAAAAGATTTCGGATAAACAGAACTACGACAAAATACATCGAGTGTAAATTTAGTAACAGTTGCAATAAAAGCAGAGGAAAAGTGAAGATTGAGAACTAAAAACTACCTAAGAGTGAACATTTTCGCTATTTAGGGTCGATTATCACAACGGTGGGGGAGATTGATGCGGATGTGGTCCATAGAATTAAGATGGAGTGGCTTAAGTGAAGAAGTGCGTTTGGGGTACTGTGCATTAAACGAGTGCCCCCCTAGACTAGAAGGAAAGTTTTACAGAACGGTTATTAGACCATCGATGTTGTATGGGACGGAGTGTTGGGCAACCAAGAAACAACATGTAGATAACATGAGTGTTGTTGAGATGAGAATGCTAAGGTGGATGTGTGGCAAGACTAGAAAAGACAGAATTAGGAATGAATGTATTTGGGAATGAATAGGAGTAACACCGATAGAAGATAAGTTAAGAGAGAATAAATTAAGCTGGTTTGGACATATTCAACGGAGACCAACAAAGACAGTAATGAAGAGATGCAATGAAGTGACAGTAAATGAAAGTGTTAGGGGACGGGGTAGACCTAAATAAACGTTGGCTAGCGTAGTAAATAGAGATATGAATCTATTTAATTTGACTAATGAAATGGTCTTTGATAGAGCAGCATGAAGAATGATTTATGTATTCGACCCCATTCAATGGGACTTAAGACTTGGTTTGGTTTGGTTTATCAAGTATATAGTACATTGTGTTATGTACTGTGCTTGGTCATGAAAGACCAAACTAAGGTAGGCGTCAACCATTGTTGAACCACAATGCCTCATCTTTCTAAAATCTGTCTAAACTAGTGATATCCAATTGCACTGCCATGATGCGCCAATTGCGCAAGAACCAATTGGGTAAAGTACTTTTTTTCTTATTTCTATCAAGTAACCAATTGGGTAAATTTACAACAGAAAAAGAAAAGGGGATTCAATGTTTGCTTTCCCATTAATTATTCCATGAAAGCATGGAATAAAATATTCACAATATTAGCAACATGTTCACCACTATATCCATATTTTCAAGCCCACATCCACAATACATCAGTATGATCCATGATATTTTATCATATTTTAATAATTTCTACAATTTATGAGAATTGATATCAATATTTTGTGATATATCTCATGATATATTCTTATTTCAAAGGTTACAGTTTTCTTTTGGGTAAATTACAATGACCTCCCTTGAGGTATGAAGAAATTACCATTAAGTCCACGTTTTTTAGATAATTATTCTAACCTCCCCCAATCATTAACGCCATTAAAGGACTATTTGAATTGACACTTTTACCCTCTAATAGTTAAATATGGCATTACAATTTTATGGGTTTTGAAAACTTTTAAATAACCCTACGACTCTACACACTATCCTCCTCTCATCTCCCATGCCAGCCAATGCCAGTGTCACCATCATTGCCCAATGGTAGTGTCGCTATTGCCACCCAAAACCAATGTCACCATCGCTACCCAACTCCAGCTCATCTCCAACTTCCCAAATGGAACTCAATGCTTCCCTCCTCCCTCTCCTTCTCCCGAACTTGCAGCACCACCACCTCTTGGATCTGAAAGATGTCCGCCACCCTTATCCCTCCTCTTTCCCCCTCCAACACCGGCAGCTCTACCCCCTCTCCCCTTCTCAACACAATTTCCCCAAACCCTCTTCCATGTCTTATATTAACATCACCATCCAAGAATGAAGTTGTGAATTTTGTTGATTGTGTTGTTTGAATTAACTAAGTGAAAGAACAATGGTGGGTTGATTTGGATGAATCCACTCTTCTTAGATTTGTTGTAAATTAAATTGTAATTTTTTCTTGATTAAGAAATATTAACAGCGGGAAGTTTAGATGTTTAATGAAATATAGCTGATGATGTAAGCACAACTATTAATTTATTAACAGTGAAATAACGATGTGGTGTGGACTAGTTCGTAATGTAATGTTGAATTTAAGGGAGGTGAATGTAATTAGTCCAAAATTGTAGAGTATAATGTATTTTTGCCAAACCACAGGAAAGGTCAGTGTAATTTACACTTTTTTCCCCCAATATTCTATAATCTCTCCAACAAAATTTGATTAATCCAAAAAAAAAAAAACCCTTAATCCTAAATCAAGCAAATTTTTACCACAGAGGTACACAACCATCTATTGCATATGTAAGATGTTACAAACTCCACTTGGATTCATTCACCCTCCAATTTTTTGCACTCTCTTATCTTTAAACTATAATTTGCTTTCATTTCCAAGTTCTAGCAAAACCAAGGTCATGTAAAAATAATATGACAAACTTTGCAAGGAACCATATTCCACATAATATGCTGCTCCATTGCAACTTAGGCATCAAAAATTAAAAAATACGGAAACAAACTCTCCACACACAAGGGTAAGGCTGTATACATGTAACCTTTTACAAACCCCACAGTGGCATAAGCCTTGTGCAACAGGTTGCCCTTGTTTATGGAAAAAAAGGGGGAATTTTGCAACAAATTTTAGTAGCCAAAGCCAGATAAGAAATGACATAAAATTTGTAAACCTTAATAGCTTCTAATTTAGCATTAGTATCAATGTTACTCCAATGGTGCAAATGTTATTTCTTCTATTTTCTTCACAAAAAGCCAAACCAAAATGTCATTTGTGAACCCAATTATGAGAGAGAAAGAAAGATGAGGCCTTGCCAAAATTTAGTTACAAGAAGAACGATGCAAAAGGTAGATACACTTTCCAAGTTCCAAGAAAGAAATTAATTCCTACAATTACGGTAAGTTGTGTTGTTACAAGCATGGTTTTAAAAACCAATCCGAACTGGACCGGCCGGTTTGACTAGTTGAACCGTCGACCAGTCGGGATTCTGGTCTAGATATACTACCTAAACCATTCCAAGTCAAAACCAACCTATTTAGAGAGAACTGGGAAAACCAGCGATTGAATCACCGAACTGTTTGACCTGGGAACGGTACGGGTCAGGTGAACCGGCCGGGTTGATGAAACTAAAAATTTTGGACTTTTATTTATTTTTATATTTTCTAACTTTTTTTTTAATTCTTTTTTCTTTTTTTTCTTTCTTTCTTATTATATAAATATATAAGAAAATTTTGATTAGAAACTCTTTTTCAAGGGTCTCTTCAAGGAATCCTATTGAGAGTTTGAAATTATTGTGAAAGTCTCTACCTATTTAAAAGAAAAAAATTATTCCAAAAATACTCGAGAAATCCATGTGAGATTCAATCAAATATATTGGAGGGAGACTTGAAATATTTGGATATCCCTCCAAAATTTTTACTCTTCTTTCAATCAAATTATTTGAATTAAAATCATATGGAGGGTTATTTGGCTTTCTCTTCCAAAATTAAAATTAATAATATTTTAAAATATATTATTATATTTTTTAGTGAAAAAAAAAACATTAGGAGAAATATTTAAGATAATTCAAAATTTTCAGTTTTGTTTTTAATTTATAATTTTATAAATTTTATTTTTATTTAAATATGATTTTAATATATTTATGACGTCATGGTTCAATTCCAATTCAACCTGACTGTTGAACCGGTGACCCGTCTGCCCGATCCTTTTTCCGGTTCACTCACCGGTCCGGTTTTTAAAACATTGGTTACAACAATAGGTGTTCACTATTAACTTGAACGGTATGGCATGAGTACGTATTCCTCTAGGGTTATATCAAAATAGCAAGGTCAAAACAATGCACAGAAGCAATTTACAAAAGGAGTATCCCCCCAACCAAATATGTACCAGAACTTACTGATGGACCTGGAACCAACAAAACTTAAACATTAACGTTAAGCAATAGAAAATGAAATAAAGTTGTGACAGTCTTGAAAAGAAAAGGGACACATTGAATGTGTTCGTGCCTTTTCATAATTCCTTATAACTTCTTGGGTCAATGCCATTCAACCATCCGGAAGAAACAAGTTATTTGAGTTATTTACCATTGTTCTTGTAATAATCCAGTTCTCATAAACTACAAACTCAAATGAGGTGAAAACATACTCAGCTAAAGAAGATATTCTACTTAATAATATAACTCCCAACAATTAACAGGAGACTACCCAAGTCGAGTTGTTAAACAACCAACACACGTAGAACACTTCTATGGGTAGGAATTAATATTATACATTCTCCCTGACCACTACGAGACCTTAAATCCAAATTAACCCAGTAAGAATATGCATTTGATCAGTCCAATGCAACCACGTGGCCATGGAAACTAAAGTATCTCCCTGGAGGAGTGTCAACAGAAGCAAACAAATCAAAAAACCACCGACAATATCAATAAAACACCATTTACATGTCTATTTCAATAAAACAACATTCATCAAATTAAGATAAATCAATCACTTCAAGAAACAACCTTTAAAATGAATGTCTCAGACCCATTACTTACACATCAATAGCACACCTCAAAAAGCAAACTAGTGACGGAAAAATAAACCAAAGAGAGAGTATTTTATAAACAAATTAAAGTTCAAGTACCCAAAATAAACAAATGCCTAAACACAACAAACAACTACCGAAATGGCCGGAGAATCAGATTTAGCACTAAAATTGATAATTTAACAAAGACATCTACTACAACAAGCAGCTAATTCTCATCACAAGCCCCATCTGACAATTTCAAAAGTACTTTTCTGTGAACTAAACCGTTAACTAGGTAAAACCCATCATTCAAATACACATACCCACAAGACAAAATGAATCAAAATGATTGAATCTAACAAACCCATGATCAAAAGTGCTGAATAAAGGACGAAAAGTGTAAAGATCAAAGAACAAAATCGAAGAACCGTATAGGGTTGGAAGACTGACCCACGACACTCGATCCTCCGGAGCCAAGCGTCATGGTGAGTATACAATTTTGCTTTCGATGGATCGATTAGAGATGGATCTGATCAAGCTAGAGGGGGATAGAGAGAATCTGAGGGAAGGCGACGAAGCCAAAAGGAGGAAAGCGGAATAAAGAGGCAAATAATAATACGAGGGCAAGGTGAAGACTGAGGTTAAAAATAAAGGCTTTGTTTGGGAAAAGGGAAGGCTTTTTTTTTAAAAAAAAATTAAAATTTTATTCGACTTGTGAGTGGACTTTTTTTTATTTATTTTTATTACCTTTTATTTCATTAGGGGAATATAAAAGGTAAGAAATGGAGAAAATAAACAAATGGGAGAAATATTTCCCATATCAAAATTAATTTATTCAATAATTTATTGGAACATTTTTAACCTCTTTTTTTTCATAATACCAAGCATTTTAACGTTAAATTTTTAATTTTTATCAATCGATCAGAAGGTCAACCAGGCGATGTCTGAGCAGTTGTCTGATTTAGTGTAAATTTTCTTTAATTTTTTTTCAATCCAATCGTCATTCCGGTTGACCGGCCGATCATCTATTCGATTATCTATCAATGGTCACCTGTGAGATTTGATGAAATATTAAACGCTCTATTGATTTGATGATCAAAGTAGGGCTCCCTTTATTTGACACCAATTTAATGAAACGGTTAAAATATCGTTTTCACTAAATTTTTATCAAATTTAAATTTAATGAAAGATTTGAGTCTGAATTCAAATAGTCTTAGCCCATTTAATACAATAGTTCTATAATTTGTCTAATTGTAAATTTAAGAATAAATTTTTTACCAGTATCAAAATATTAAAATACAACCATACTGTATCAATGGAGTAAATTTTTACTACCGTCTTAAGATTTTTTCCGATTCTATAAAGTAGCAAAGGTCGAGGGTAGGGGAGCGGCCAATAATGGTGTTGTTCGGTATAGTTGTTAAAACAGATTATACATTATAACTTAACAGATTATAGATTATGACTTTAATCAGAAGCTGTTAATCTGTTTGGTATAACTGTTGGATTATATATTTAAGTTGTTGTGTAGTGTTTGTTAAATAAGCTGTGAAGTTTTTCAATTAATTTTTATTTTTTATTATTCACTATTTGTCTACATTTTTCATAAATAATAATAATAATATTTTATAGTCCATTTGGATCTTTTTCTATTTTTAAAAAAATAAAAAATAAAAAAATCTAAGAGTATGACCGTGAATTAACATGTCCACAGCAAAAGCTAATAATCAGAAACAATGGGTGAACAGCTTTTCAGAATCAATTTTTTTGACTTAAAATAAGTTGTTAGAATCAGAAGCTGTTTGAAATAAATTTAACCAAACAGTCTAAAATAACTTTTTAAAAGTCAGAAAGCATAAGCTGGCTCAAAAAAGCCCCACCAAACACCCCCAATATATGGCACAAATTTCATTGTATAAGGTTCCAATTTGTAATCATCGGTTCAATTTGATTAATTTATCCATATAACTTTAAAAAAATAAAGGGTATATTTGGTTTGGCGAGTGATTTTGGAAATTTTTTTTTAAAAAACTTGTTTGTTTTGTAATTTTTTCAAAATAATTTCTAAAATTACTTTATCTCTCTTACACATTAATCAATCACTTTTTTCTCTTTATTCTCTTTATTCTCTCATTCTCAATTATTTTTTCTCTCACACATATCTACTCAATTATAACAAAATATCAAATCATTCCAAACTCTAAAACTTCAAAACTACTTTCAAAATACACAACCAAACAAATCAAAAAAAAAAATTTAAACTCTCTCTCTAAAGTAATTTTTAAAAATTACTCTCTCATAATCAAACCAAACATACCCAAAGATTCTTGAAATAGGGTATGTGATAAGTTCTATAGACTCAGACAAGGCTTTTTAATTCACTTTGTAGACGAAGACAAGCCTAAGCTTAACTTTAGAACAAAATTCATTTTGTAGACGAAGACAAGCCTAAGCTTAACTGTAGAACAAAATTTGTGACTTTGTCCTTGGGTAGAGTAGTTCCCAAACTCTCAATAAGATTGTTGTGCATGTCGTTAAGTATTGTAAAGCACGTAGTCTTTCTTAGCTATAAGTAATTATTAGGCCTCTTTGGAACATTATTGTTGGTTATATATTTTGTACAAGGTATTTACAATTCGACGCGTAGCAGAATAAGGATAATACAGGAAGACTATTCAAGTTTTCAATCCTGATCGTACACGTGACAGTTAGTATTGATTATTACGAGATCTGAGTAGTAGTGAATCAACAAAGAGATGCAAGGTGATGTGGCTTCAACGGTTACTCACATTTAAATTCAAATTTAAGAGGGAAGTCTAACTGCAAGCGATAGCATAGTGGAGCTAATTATAAGGTAACATGATCAGCGATTATGGAGGAGCAGTTCGACGGTTAGAAATGTAGTTCGATAGTCATCCTTGAGAAGTATAAATAGCAGAGAAGGCCCACAAAAAGACCCCCAGACTCAAATCCAAAAAACCAGTCTTATTCTACTTATTTTCCTTTTCAGTTTTACATTTCGAGTCTTACATTTTCTGTTCTTTACATTCTTGTACTTTAAATTCCTGCACTGCACTGCACTGCACTGCACTGCACTGCACTTCGTTCATAGGAGTAGTTTCAAGTAATAGATTGTTGCTGTAAACCTTTACGAGGCTGAGTTCGGATCATTGTAAGTTTTTCATTTTAATGAAATGCTTCAATTGTTCTTCATTTAATTGTTATCTTGTTTAATTCTCCCAAATCAAGCCACCAGTAAAAGTCCTCTTCATTGAGGCTGAAAGAACTAAAACACAATCGTCTAATAATTAGTTGGCAATTAATTTTCTGTAAGGACTGATTGATCTTTGCTGGCACGCTCGCAATTACAAAAATAACCTTCGAAAGCCAAAAAGCCAACATATATTTTTGGCGCGCCTAGTGGGACGTTAAGTGTAATAAATGAAAAATGAATTGGATTTGTCCATTTCAAATAGCCTAGATGAAATTTATTGGCGTAAACAAGAAATTTTGGATCTTCAAGAAGAGATCCATTTTCTTGATAAAATAAATTTTCATCCCTTACAATATTATTTGGTAGAAGAAAAAAGACACCATTTAATTGGAGAAATTCATCAACTTGATATGAAAATTCGCCAATGGAATGATGAGTTATCAACTCTCATTACCAAGTCCTTAACTAAGGCCTTAATGGCCGGAATTGGTGAATTTTTTCAAAAATTTTCCATGGTTAAAAATAGCAAAAACAAAAAGTTGATTTCATCAATGGCTCAGGGGTTCAAGAATCCGTTTTTAAAGAGCCAAATTATGAAATTAACATAACGAATGAGCATGTTCTTGAGCCAAATTTAGCTAAGAATGATGTTCCATGCATAGCTCGGGGGGTCTCAAAACCAATACCATTTAATTGGAGAAATTCATCAACTTGATATGAAAATTCGCCAATGGAATGATGAGTTATCAACTCTTACTACCAAGTCTTTAACTAAGGCCTTAATGGCCGGAATTGATGAATTTTTTCAAAAATTTTCCATGGTTAAAAATAGCAAAAACAAAAAGTTGATTTCATCAATGGCTCAGGGGTTCAAGAATCCGTTTTTAAAGAGCCAAATTATGAAATTAACATAACGAATGAGCATGTTCTTGAGCCAAATTTGGCTAAGAATGATGTTCCATGCATAGCTCGGGGGGTCTCAAAACCAATTTTTAGAGAGTCAAGTCATGAAAATAACATATTTATGGTGATTTTTATAAGCCATTAATGGCTAACACAGAAAAACAATCCACTTTGCCAAATAATTATGAAAATCTATTCGACAAAAGTCATGTTTTTAAAACAAACATGATAAAAAATAATGAACAAGCCACTGTTCATGAATTCAAATTTTTTGATATTTTTCAAAATGTCAAAAAAGTATGAATTTTCATTGTCACACTATACCATGACTTTTGTTGTTCGAAATCCATTTTGGATTTGTGGATCACATCAAACGTTGACTTTGATGGAATGGCTAACAAATAATATTTCGTTATTGCAATATATTGAGCCAAAAATGTTGTTATTAGTTGATCCATAAAACCATCACCATTTGGTTTTGTGGTTACCTTCGAAGCATGTCTCAAGACACTTCGAAATAGATTATTCATTGAAATATCATTTTATAGCCATTAATGGCTAGTTAAAATGCCAAACTAATTTCATAATAATCCAACTATTTGGATTTAGTTCGAAGAGATGTCGTGAGAACTTTCGAAGGATAACTTTAATCCTTTAGTAACATATGTGACTTTCGAATGGTGGTTTTGTCATCAATAAACACCTTCGAAATGTAACATGGGACGAGAAAACTTTCGAAATGTGTACCTCTCTTCAAATATATGTAAAATGACAATTAATTAATTATCGAATAATGCCTATTTTCGGCATGATAATTAGTGGCTTTACTGATAACCATTTTTATAGCCATTTGTTGCATGAAAATGTAACCAGTATTCTATAAAAGTTGGTTCGAAGAACAACGATTTTGGTGTCTTTGGAGAATTAATAATTGGTTTAAAGCATAAAATTAATGTTTTCATTAATTATGTGTGAACCAAAACATCAAAATTTGAATAACCACAATGTTGGCCAAAAGTTGCTTCGAAAGCCCTTTTGCCATAATTTTGTAAGCTTCGAAGCACTCCATCTTGCATCAACAACACTTCGAAGAAAAAATTGTGACAGTTGTGAACCTTCGAAACTTTGCCGAGTATTTCGAAGGATGTAATTCGTCCTTTGCTGGCATTTTCGACCTTCGAATGATAATTTTAGTCCTCTATACCACATTCGAAGCTGGTTATTTAGCATGTGTAACAGTTTGCTAAGGTGAATCATTGGCTTTGTCTTGAAAACATATGGTCATCCTTCGAAACTTTTCTGTAATAATATCCCTTCAATGCGTATATATATAATTTGCAACATCTAGTCATAATTTCATGCTCATTCGAAGCAGTTTATTGGTGCTATTATATCATTCGAAGCACTTTGTTGATATTATTTGAAGCACTTTATTGCTTAGATTAGTCATATGCTTGGTTCGACCCTTCAAAAATTCAAATAAACATCATTTTTAAGGGCCGCGGGGGTAATGTTA